AATCTGGGATATTTCCAAGAAATACTTGGATTAATGCTGCAACCGTTCGAAAAAATTTTTGTTGCCAGTACTTGAGCCGTGCCGAGCAGCTTTCTTGATAGCTATTCGTTATTTAACCTACTGAGAAACCTAGTTGGCACAACACAGCACATTGCTAACCATAAGATATACGGGCATGTCAAAGTTTGTAAACAAAAAAGCTTTCAACTTATATTTTTTGCCTTTTTCTTGGAATTCTATGGTACAACCAGAATATATGCAAAGCGATGATGTCCTGAGATTTGGCCTAGTGTCGTTAGATCAAGCATTTTTGTCCCGCTACGAAACGTTGGAAAGATTTTAACATCCAAAACTCTTCGAAAGTATTGGGTTGGCTTGAAAGTTCTCGGACATTGCATTTAGACAAAGTTTTTTTTGGATGTAAGCACTGATTGGGGCATGCTGCATACCATTAGAAAGAGGAAAGCAATCTCTACAGAACTATGGTAAGCAGAAGCAACATCAATGTTTTTTGTGAAAATTCGGGCGAAAATTCCAAAACATAGGATTTTGACCTAACCCAAATCTCCGGCTTCTATAATCGTTTTGAAATCCCCACATGCTCCAATTTATAGTACAAACATAGTTATATGCATACAAGCACAGTTTGAGCGGAACTTGAGCTTGAACAATAAGAAAAACGAGGTGATTGAAAAGTGGCAAACTCCGCCCCCATTGGTCCTAAGCCCCTCCCATTTGCATAGATATCAGCTACAGGCGAGGGAGAGTACAACTGCAAATTTTCGAGGATGTACATGCATTGGGTTTCGAGAAATAGCAAATTTAGTCTGAGAATGTTCCAGAACTTTCGAGCCAACCTAATATATCGTTTGCTTCCAAAGTCACCTCGAATGCTTCATTTCTGTGTAGGGCAATTCGAGACAAAGATACTGGGAAGATTTCGATTGCATTCCATATAGCTTTTCATCCTCTTTCAAATGGCCTGATTGTACAGCGCAGCTTAGGAGCTTTTAAAAAAATACCAAAAAGTACCACCCATGGTTTACCACCTTTAAATTTCGCTGTTTTTATATTCTTTTTGCTACCCTCTTTTTACGGCCAGTTTTAATGCCCATTTCCTATTGTCTTCGGAGACAAAATTACCAAAACATGTTCTGACACGAGAAATCAAGATTTGGTACTGTGAATCGAAACCACTGTGAACCACTTAATTTGTGTTTCATGCTTTTTGTTAGTAGGCCGCCAAAATCGGTCGTTCTGAGAAAAAATTCATCGAATTGTGGCGAGTTATGAAATTACCAAAAGATTGTTTAACATTCTGTAGAGTTTGCTTTGTCCATAAATTCTTAGATATCTTTGGATGATTGCTGCAAAGCTAGAAGATCAGCTAAACTTGAACATGGGAAAAAACCAGTTGTTATTTTTGGTGATTTGGTGAAGAGAGACAAAATTCCTGTAAATTTCTCTTGAATAATTTACGAGACCATTTAGTTGGCGTAATCTTGCGGTACAAGAACGCGCAAAACTGCACAATATCGGGACTCGAGGAGAAGAGTATCAAAACAGCAGATTTCTCCGAGAGAAAGAACTAGTCTCTTTTATTTTTTTGAACAGTTTGCTTAGGTTCTTTTCTTAGAAGTTCGCGGGAACAACAATCTGCTTATTTATAATATTAGGTTGTCCCGAAAGTTTTGTCGGTTTTCCAAACAACTATAAAACCACGTATAATAAAGATGTGAATGATAACATGCATTCGACGCAGCTTCTCCTTCTTTTTCTTACGAGTGCATTTTCGAAAAAAATTCTAATATATAAAGAATCTTTAACTCAGTTCAAAAACTGCAAATAGCGGGAAACCGCGTGGCGGTCCCGAAGCGAACTCTTGCAAATGGCACATTTAGACTACTGGTTCACTAGTCTTGATAATACGCTCCGCTGCACACTTTTCCTTATGATTGCCAAAATTCTTCACCCGTCGATTCTAACTGCTCAAAATTAAGCTTTTCAAAAATTTTATTCCAAAGTCGGGAAAGGGTTAAGTATGGCGCAGATAGAGCAAATCTCGGACTATAAGGCAATGTTTTTAGATTCTCCTAGTCTGCTGTTTTTAGCTTCTAAAAAATTCATTTTTCGGAGGTCTCGATTTTTGGCGAAGTCTTGAAACGCGCAGCAGCAAAAACATGAAAGCTTTCGAATTTTCTGCGAAAAGAAACTTGTGTTGTTAGACATTATTTGTGCAACATAATCAGTTTGATTTGCTCAGAAGAATAAGTTTTTTGGAACTTTTGGTGCGCTTATATGGCAAACGTGATCACAAAGCCGCGGTTTTCAAATAAATGATTATAAGAGACTTGATAAACGTGACCCTCGTAATCTAAAATAGGTATCGTAGCCAAGGATTTGCTCTACATACAGCTACCAGCGCTCCTTGAAAATATCGGAATAAAAAGTTTTAAAATTTAGGCAAGATTTGGGGTTACACTTGAGCTGCTCAAAAAGCCATGGCGATAACATCGCAAAGGCAGCGTAGATCAGAGAGCAAATATATAGTCGCTTCATTTCATATGATCATGTGTGTCATTGCCCACACAGTTCACCTTTGGCGTCCCCATCCTGAATTCGTGGGAGAAACAAGCCTTCAGTTAAGTGTTTCCAATGTGTTCTTAGCATTTTCTTTCCTTTTTAGTTACTAGTCACCTCAGATTGATGTAACCGATAACAATCGGCAAGTCTTTTGCGTTTTTGCGATTGCAAATCCAGAATGAGGACGCCAAAGTGGACTGTCTGTGAAATGGCACACATGATCATATGAAATGAAGCGACTGTAGCTTAGCAGGAAATGGTCAAAACTTAACCCGGCCATTCCAACAACCTGTATGTATATCATTGGATTCACCTTGAAACGCTGATTTTAGGTACACACTTTCCGATCGGTAATAATCTCTTCCCACAAAGTATTTTGCTTAGCTTCAGGCACCACTCAGTAAAGCAGGCTTCATCTTACAATTGGGTTCATAGTATAGAGTGAATCACACAACTCTCTTGATTAATGTCGGATTACGTTAGGGCTTCTCAAAGGGTTTGAGCATTAATGGTTACATTTTGTCCCAGAATGATACTCATCGGGCCGAAAACTTTCTCATTAGGGTAAGGTTGTTGGGTATGAAATGAGTTTTGCACTGTCCATAAAATTTTTTTTCAGAAGTTATGCCGAGTAAACCGCTGTAATGTTTTAGTGTCTTTCAAAATGCGATAAACATCGTTCGAAACGCTTGAAAAACTTGCGAAAAGTTGTTTAATAGAAACAACATGTCTAAAAAACATCTGCACAACTTTTCAGAATTTATTAAGACTTTTTCTGAGAGCCTGTTTCACAATGGCGCTGTATGCTGAAATTTCCTACCGTAATTCTATAGTAATTAGGCGATGAGTGATTCCTCTACTATTAATCACACAAGGGAAGGCACTTAACTTAGGTCGGGCTTTTGAAATGAGATACACACATTTAGAATCAGCTTTGAACGCTGATTCCAAATATGCTATCCTTAGCTGTGAAGCGTTTCTCTGAAGCGAGTTATGAGCTTTTTCAGTATGTGTCATTGACATACAACTGAATATGGAAAGAAGGTCTTTGGATGAAAATCTGCCCAAAAAGTGGTGGAAAATCAAAATAACATCGAAATGAGTCATTTGGTTTTGATAGGGTATAATAAGCATTTGAACCACTACCTAGATGATGATACCGTAGCATGCCTAAGTTGGTCAACACGCAAAATTTGCTCAGGAAAAAGCTCATAAGTTGCTTCAGAGGAACGCTTCGCAGCTAAGGAGAGCAGATCTGAAATCAGCGTTTCAAGCTGATATCAAACATTATTGTCTCATTTCAACAGACCGACCTAAATTAAGTGACTTCCCTTGTAAGTTGAAGCCTGCTCTACTGAATGGTACATCAAGCTGAACAAAATACCTTGTGGGAAGAAAGTCACCAACGATCAAAAAGTGTGTACCTACTTTTGGAACATCCTATACGTTCGTCATCTGTCAAGCTATCATATGGAGGAAGTTATGAGCGTTCAAGTAGGAGAAATATTCGAGTTCCAACGATTATAGGTCATTGAGAGAAAGCCTGATGGCACGGTCTTACATTGTCTATAAGTGTTTTATCTATAAGGAAAAAACACATTCGTCAAAACCTAAGAAGTGTTAAAACGTGTTTCGTAAAATATGCGCTACAGAACACTTGACAAATCGCGCATTTGAACGCCCAAATCTCCCTCCAGATAGCCGGCAGATAATAACCTTATATTTGAAAACGGCGTTTCAAGGCGAGTCCGAAGATATACAACATGCTTGGATTGTCTGGGTTGAGTTCCGGCCATTCCCTGCCTAGGAAAGAGGATAAAAATCTGAACTGAATGGTACCAGGTTTTACATTGGTGTTCTGTCGGTTTTGGTGATCGATAAATCCGACAAAACTTTCGGGACAACCTTATACTTCATTTGGTTCATGTTCAAACCTCCTCAATTTTTCATGAAATTTTCGTTGGAAAGTTGTAGTTTCCTTTTTCATGCCCAGTGAGATGGTTGAGAGCGGCCATCATCGATTTTCTTCGATAGTGGCCGCCATTGAAAATTGCTCGGAGTAACAGCAAAATCCGCCATCAGAAGGCCTTGAAAGGTGCTTGTGACGTCGTCATCTCCGAAACGCGAAAATCTCTGCTCCGGAGGTGCGCCAGTTTTGGGAGAGCCCCGGAGCAGCAAAATGCGTGAAATGGCAGGGCTCCGGAGCGCTCCAGAGCGCGAAGTGGCAGACTCGCGCCATTTGCCCGCCGGAGGTATCCCTTCGACTGTCTGAGAAGGCCCTATACTCTAGCTAGAAACTTGCGAAACGAGAAGAGTTGAATTGCGCACATGCTGACGGATTAGAATTTAAATAGAGAAAAGCTTCAAATGTTTATTATAAAACGAAATCTAGTAAATGATTTATTATGCAAAGAAATGTCTCATTTCCATGTACATGGATTTCCGTTTAGTAGCTTCTAAACTTTCGATTGACCTGTGCCTTCCGTTGTCAAATATGTTGCTGCTGTGTTGTTCTGTAATAAAACGATTTTGTTGCCAAGAATAGAAGATGTGTTGAAATTGTTGGAATAAGGATGCTTTGTTTATGAAGCGGTGCGGCAGTGAAGATTTGCAGAGAATGCGCGCTGTATGAATGAATGCAGTTCCAGAAATAAAAACGATTATTTTATTTGATTTCACTTAGAATTAGAATAAGAGTTCAAACGAGTACTTTAGGGCCCTGAACATACCCCCCACAATTTCAATTGCGATGCGGTTTGGCAATATTCCAATTGCACATAACTCGGCGCAAGGGGTTTTTGAGTGTACGGAAGATAGGGCATTTTATTAGCTTACGAAAGTTATACATGCTGTGCATTTGGGGTCTGCTAGTATTGAATTCAAAGACATCTTGGTTGGTAGTAAATCTGTCAAAACGAGCAACCCAAACTCAGGGTTAACACAGAATTAACTCCTAGTTAACGCGCACCTTCCAGGGACCATTAATACCTGCATAAACAAACCAAATGGGGGGAAGGGCGATATGGCAGGTTACCCCATAAGAAGTAGTTTATCCCAAGTATGGAAACATAGCGTACCTCGTTCTACGCTTGAAGCTACGTGAACTCCGAGTTTGGTGCGCATCCCCGGCTTCCGCTAACTCAGACTCAAAGTTAACTTTGAGTTTGGGCTTGGTTAGAGGAAGAGAAATAGTGTGCAGATGAAGAGGTGCAGCTAAAAAGTCCTCCGGGGTATAGTCGAATCACGTACGATCATGTGTAACACTGCACACATCATCCACCATTAGCGCTCCCATCCTGGATTCTTGGAGGAAGCAACCCTTCGTACAATTGTTTTCAAAGTGTTTTCAGCGTTTTCTTTCTTTTACAGGTACCACTCACCTCAAAATGATGTAAGCGATAGCAATCGGTCAGTCTCCTGCGTTTGCGATTGCAAATCCAAGATGAGGACGCCAAAGATGGACGGTGTGCGCGCATGCACACATGATCTTACAAAATGATTCGACTGTACATTTTGCTCGTGGTTGCAGCAAGCATGATGGTACATAGTATCATGGTACACTGTTAAACACATTTGCAATTTTGTTGAATTTTGGCCCTTGGGGTTATTCGACGCGCTGATCACGAATGCGATGTTCATTTTTTGCCATTCGGCCACATAGCGAGTTACAGCAGGTAGCTGGGCAAAAATTCTCGAATTTTGTCGAAGCTTGGTACATTTGGGTTATTTGACACGCTGATCACGAATACAGTAGTGTTCATTCTAACCTGTGTGTCTCTTTACCGTGGTTACAGTAGCTACACACGTAACTCGGCGAAAATTACGAAATTGTTTGAGACTTGTTGTGGTGGGGTGATTCGGTGCGCTGACTGCGAAGACAAAATCTATATTTCACCACGAAGGTAGAGCAGAGTTACGGTAGGATTATGGTAGTAAAGTCAAAGTCACAGAATAAATTTAAAATTAGCGCAGTGGTGTTATGAGTGTGTTGACCATCACCATATTGCCCATTCATTTGTGACTGCAGTCCATTAAAGGCAGTGGATCGGCAAAACTCAACAACTCAGGACTTTAACGCGATAGGTTCCTTATCGCCCAGGTATGAAAACAGTGCAATCCTGGTTGCACAGCATGCCTTCCCTGCCGAGAAAATGGCCCTCAAGCTTACACGCGCAGGCCAATCTTACACGCTCCGGACGAGTTGGCAACCTCCTCATCATTGGAGGCTGCCCGCCGCAACGCTATAACCATTGGGTCCCGCAACGATCCAGCATCATCAGCCTTGCTCCACTGGTCCAGTTATGAAAGATAGGGCACTGAAAAACGCTCGTTTTCGCTGTTTTCAACCTCGCAGGAGTGGATTTTCGAAATCAGCGTATTAAATAACCCCAGGTGAGCGAAAATTTGACTAGGTTGAGATTTGCCGAGCCACCGCCTTTAAGCGAGGTTACGGTAGCTATACGGTAGTTGGGCGACAATCACGCAACTGCCCGAAACGTGTTGGTGCGATGGGTCGTTTTGCATGCTAATTGCGAATGTGATGTTCATTTTTCGCTACAACGCCACTGAGCGAGATTACGGTAGGCTTACTGTAGACAGGAAGATATAAAGGAATCAATCAACTAATTAGGTCTGACGGAGTCATTCGGTGCGTTGATTGCGAATATGATAGTCATCTTTCACCAAAGGAGTATAGAGCGGGGATTAGGGTAGGATTATGGTAGTCAAGTCAAAGTCATATGCTAGATTCAAAATTGGCTCATTGGCGTTGTGTGGTGTGGAACACGATCATATTGCCCATTTTCACAGCAATGTTGTATAGCGGAGTTACGGTAGAGATACGGTAGCTAACCAAACATAGGATTCAATGAAACTTGGCTTGGTGGGCTGATTCTGCGCGTTGATTACGAACATCATAACCAAGTGAAAATGTTACTTCCTAAGAGGTTTCTGTGAATATGCGGTATCGAAATATGAAACTTGCTTGGAATTTTGTTCAGGGGCCATATAGCGCGCTAAATACAATATACCGTTTCTTTTTCGCTGCAGGAACATGCGATGGGATCGCAGTAGATGTGTGGTAGACTAAACTGGTTGAACTGCTGAAAATTGGTCGTTGGCTTTTCGTGGCAGTGCAATCATGAATATGTTGTTTATTTTCAATGAGGTTATTGTATGTTACGGTGGGCCTTTACGGAAGAAGGCCAAAAAGTTCAGGGTGAGTTAAACTTTCTTAGCAAAGAAACAGCAGTAGCACTTTTGATTTTTACTTCTAAAATTTTTTATCGTCCCGTTAAAATAACCTCAAAAAATTATGTGAGAATGGTTATATTATTCAGAGGTCATTCAAAATCGAATGCTCTTGATTTGATTATCATTCGTAAGTCAATTTTCCCAATGGAGGATATTTCGAAATTACAATTTCTAGATGTAGGCCATTCGAAACTTAAGGTGTTAGAAGAGACCTTCGAATCTTATTAAGTATGCTGGCATATCACAATAAGGGAAGAGGGAAGATACTCCAAGAATGCTTGATCGCAACAAAGCTCCAATCCAGATGAGACATAAATCTTCTCAAAGCGCCTTCAAATGCTGATTCCAAATCTATAGTCCCTAGCTGCGGAACGGTTTTGTTGAAGGAGTTCTTAGGGCTGTTTCCCCCTGGAGTTGGGGGCTCCCTCCAGCAGGTCTCCCCTTATCTATGAGCACTGTAGAGGAGTACCAGATAGTAACAACTGGCCTAGTGGTAAGTAATTGGAATGAAGATTACCATAAGGATTATAAAACTCATCTTACTTTGGTTTTCTCAACACTTCTAACTTCGATTACCATCAAAATTATCAAAAACTTCGGGCTTTGAGCTTCAAAGCCATTTAGAAGCTCAATTTCGCAAAAGTTGCGATAAAGTTGCATGCGAAGGGGACTAGAACCTTGACACTCTCCTTATCAAGCAAGTCACTTACCACTAGGCCGGTTGCCGACAGTTGATACTCCTCTACAGTGCTCATAGATAAGGGGAGACCTCCTGGAGGGCGCCTCAACCCCAAAGGGAAACACCCCTCATAACTATAATATACTTGGGTCCGAATCGAATAGAAATTCGATCATTCGAATAAAACATTCGATTATATTCGTATTCGAAATTCGATATTCGGAGTTCTTCCATTTTCCAATAATTTTCGAAACTCGAACAAAAAACAGGGTTTAGAATAAAATTCGAAAAGTCGAATAATCAAAGAACGAGGTTTCGAATATTATTCAAAAACTCGAATAATCAAAAAACGGGGTTTCGAATAAATTTTATTCGAATGTTTTATTCGAATGTTTATTCGAATTCGTATTCGAATGTACTCCGTATTCAGATTATTCGACTTTGTTGCAGAGACAACTGCTGAGTATCAAGCTCACTTCGTCCGCGTTTTTTTTTCTTCGCAAAACTCGGTAATGCATCTTTTGCAACCGTTATACCTTTGAACTGTATGGAGAGTCGCATTCTTCCGACTGCTTGCGACAGTAAAAAAAATCATATGTGGATTTTAATTGATGTAGAAAGAGAGCAAGCCCTTTGCTTTTACATTGTTGATGCTGATAAGAAGTAAAGTTAATTCTGGTGTACATCAGTCTCTTTCAGGCCATCTGAAGAAGAATCTTTTGGGCACAGCATAAAAATTTATATCGACTGCTTTTTAGATCGTCCATAATGGGTAAAATCTGACTTTTTGCTGATGTATAGACTAGATGACGACCGACCGACTTTATCGATTTTTGGGGAAGTTTGAGCTGCGGGGCTGAGAGTTGGTACAAGGGGGTAAGTGAAGGTGCTGATTATGGATAGATTTATTTTATAAATTTTATGGATTTTTGGAAAATCTCGAGCTACGAGCTTGGGAGTTGGTACAGGGGGTAAATGAGGATGCTGATTAAAACAGAAATCTATTTTATTGATTTCAGCAATCTTTGGAAAAGGAGTTGCTATAGGGGATACTAGGGGGCTGATTATGATTGGATCGGCTCTGATATGTCGGCAAGTTTGAGATGTGATTGCTTTAGTTATTCGATAAATCATTCGAATATTTATTCGAAATTCGACTTCCAATGTTCGAATATATTCGATATTCATTCATTCGATATTTTTGATTTTCCGAATTTATTCGAAATTCATTCATTCGATATTTTTGGTTTTCCGAATTTATTCGATATTCGTTTATTCGAAATTTTTCCTTTTCGAATTTATTCGATATTCATTCATTCGATGAGAAATTTTCGAATTACCCAAGTATACTCATAACTCCTTCTTCAAAACCGTTCCGCAGGTAGAAACTACAGATTTTGGTATAAGCGTTTCAAGCGCTTTAAGATGATATATGTCTCATCTGGATTGGTGCTTTCGACTAGGCATCCTCTCCTTGTCAGATGTTATTCTAGGTAACTTAAGGCATATGTAACCCTTTTTGAACAGCATTTTACCTTTCTTCAAGGATTTGAAGGATGAAAATCTTTCGAAGATGTTGGAATTAGGAACTGTATTGGCCATGTGAAACGTTAATACAATTCAAGCACTCACAAAACGGCCCACGCAGAGAATCATTCTGCTGAGTCCACTCTCTTTCACTACCATAAAGTAAAACGGTGTGTCGAATTTCGAATAAGGTTCAAGTAGCTCTGGATAAATATCAGTCAGCATATAATCAAGCGCTATATTGAAAAACGTACTTGCATCAAGCCCTGCTTCTTTTGTACAATCAGGCTCTTCAAAATCGTAATATTTATGGGGATCTGCTTTCGAAACGCCTGAACATTCGTAACCATTGAAAATAATAATCTTTTATTATTGAAAAGAGAATATATTTGTAAGGGATTTACGCACGATATGTGAAGTCTTTCCGCATCCTTTTTAACACGACACGCTCTTCGACAGCCACCCCATATCTGGCTAAAGACACGATTGCTTCCGTAAAGCAAATTCAGAAAGAGACTCACATCCGTCTACTTCGTTTTTTACTGCCTTCTCAACAGGCTGTTTCTCAGGAGTAATCTGGAAGTGGTAAAGCCAATTTCACATTCAACTTTTGATGCTAAAATCATTGGAATTTTAGTTCCGTTCTAGACAAGACTGCTCTGCCGATTAATTTCTCTATGCGCATTCAGATAAGTACTATATAGGTCGGAACAGATTAAATGCAGTTTTCGCAGCCTGAAGCATTATAATTACCACGACGTCGATATATTGAGATGCGATAAAGATTCTCATAATCTGTAGATCTTTTCCTTCCTTGAATTCTTGCAAAATGAGAAAGTTGCAGAATCGGAATTAAGGTTTTTGACATTTTTGAAGGTTATGAAATCCTGAAACCCTCAACTCCCCATCATTTTCCACATATTGTAAAGCTTCATCACTCCATTGTCAAGTATTCTCACAGCTTTTTATCTTAAAAGTATCGAAAAAAATTTTCTTGGAAGTTCTTGCAAGCCATACAGCAGTTGGTCATATTGACAATTGATCGTGTCCACAAATTCGAATCAGTATGTCCAAAGAAATTGTCGCCTTTCCTTGCCCCTCGGAAACTCTCTTACTGTTTCACGTTCACGTTTTGGCTTAAATTTCGAAAATTGTCTTGCTTTGCTGTTTGGGTCAAAACAACCCAAGAGATTGGTTCAAAACTTCCATTCCATAAGCCTCAGAAATTCAAGAGCTTGAGGTTGCAACACATGCAAGGAAGTATGTTTGAAACATGAAAACGCTCTCAGCCAGCACAAAATGCTGATCGCAAGGGGCAAATTCAATAAGAAGTGCATGTAGCTTGTAAATGTTGTTTCAAAAACCTTGCATTAATTCTGTTAAAGTCAGCGATTTACAAAATCGGTTGAAGTTTGAGACTCACTGTAAACTTTGCCTTATGATAATGCTCCCATAATGTGACGAAGTAAGGGTAAAACGAGTGGCTGCGGTAAAATATCCCAGAGAGGTCAGACTGAAATTTCATGCGGTTCTTGCTTTCCTTTGCAACAATAGTGCCTACTCACCTTTTCCCTGTCAAAGATTCGACGTAGCCCGAATTTGCCTTTGTTATTTGTACATTCTGATAGTCTCAATGGGCACATTACAGAGAAGTGCGGCACACAGATCTGAGCTCCTCTACTGTGAAGAGTTCAAAAAAGAAAACCGTACCTTCTGAAATGTTTTGGATTTCGGAAGAGAATCTACAGCCTGTTCGAACGATGTGGCTGTCGGAGGTTCACTGGATCTGAACCGATACATATTAAATCGTATTTTACTCAAATACTTTTAATATGAGATATTTATAGATCAGGAAAATTGTAAATCATGATACGTTGTTTGCCTGCATATAATTCTATTTTTCCATAATTCTCCGATTGTTGCAGGTGGTGAAGCCACTTTAAGTAACTTCATAAATTAGAAGCCCTTGTTTCTATATTTTGTGAGCACACCCTTTTTCGCGGACCTCCTTTTTCCATAATATATTATGGTTGTCCGGAAATTAATGTCCGTTTTGAATTTCAACCACAATAAGTCATACACTTTTCATCTCTAGATAATATGCAAAGTACATTTCCATAGAGCAAAGCAAGCTCTACAAGGTGGCGATCCTGCTTTAGCGACATCTCTGATCCACCTCGAGTTTCAAGCCAAAAACTAAAAAGATTCAACTGCCCGAAAAATCGAGAAAAATCGTAACTCTGTTCATAAAAATCCTTCAAAAATTCTAGCCTACCCACCACACTGTCTACACAAGACATCTATATACGCCGTTGCCGTATTTTTTTCCTCTGTTAGAAATCAAGAAAACGGAAATTCTCATGCATTCGCCAAAGTGATGTTGTGCTGTCCCCACATAGGTAGTTGTGGGGATATACTACAAACCTTAGAAGTACAAACGTGAATTTTCAGCTCTGAGCAAGCTTTAGTTCTCGATAATTATCGAATATAGCTTTCCCGAATTAGGCGGTCCAAACTGAAATTCAGATTTCATGAGAACTAAAGCTTATAGAGAGCTGAAAATCTACATTTGTACTTCTACAGGTCTGTAGTATACAACTACCTATGTGGGGACAGCACAGAATCACTTTGGCAAATGCACGAGAATTAGCCGTTCTTTTGATTTTCAACAGAGGAATACGGCAACGGCGTACATAAATGTCTTGTGTAGACATAGTTTTCGTGGGCAAGTTAGAATTCTTGTAGGGTTTTCATGAGCAGAGTTACGATTTTTCTCGATTTTTCGGGCAGTTGAATCAATTTAGATTTTGGCTTGAAACTCGAGATGGATCAGAGCTTTCGCTAAAGCAATTGCCACCTTGTAGAGCTTGCTTTGCTTTGGCGAAGGGTACTTTGCATACTATTTAGAAATGAGAAGTGTATGACTTATTGCGGTTGAGATTCGAAACGGACATTAATTTCGGGACAACCTAATATTTGCACATGGTTTGGCTAATGAAATTCCTTCGCTGTTGTCTATTCAAATAGTAAACAAATTGTTGAAAACGAGCATTTTCTTTGAATGTTTTTCACGTATTTGTGGAAATATGCACACTAATCCATTTCTAAGTAGAGACTGTTGCTAATGGTTGCTGCGGAGATTCACATGCAAAAATGGGACAAAACATTTGAAAAAATTTTGCTCAAAACAACGAAGGCGGCCTAGAGATTTCAGAAACCACACACTGCAAGACTGCTTTAGCAGCGAAATGAAAGATGAAATTTCAAAAGAATTAGCATCCTTCATGCCTAGGAAGAACCAAGGGTACCTAAGTCGATGATTTCTTTATGACCTGCGTAACGGACTTTAACTGCTTGGATAGGATCAGCTATTCCATCATACTAACAGAGTTGCGGTGTTTCAAGAGGCATAGTCATTGCCAAAAATTTTGCAAATGCCACGTATCTTTATTTCGTCTAAGTTTGAAGGAGAAATGCTCCATCGCAATTATCGCACTTCACAGATGCTATCATAGATAGACCCACCTGTATAAGTACAGCTTAAAACCTTCCACATTTGATTCCAGTTCCACCAGTTTTTCGCTATCACTTAATGAACAACGGAAGTTACCTTCACAAGGCCAGACGAAGAGCTAAACAACCATAGCCTAGATTAGGAAGAATCAACTACTGGCGATGCCATACAATTAGTTCGCATCGAAATTAATTCAGGTTTCGCAAAGCTTCAGGTTAAAAGTTCGACTAAAAGGTTATGTATCGAAATGTAACAAGAACCATTGTAGCGCCAGTATCCCCTATGGAGGCGTCAACAGGCGACTTATTATTCAGAAGCTAGGGGGTTCGCGAACCCAGCCTTGCTTTTTGTGAATATCGATCCAACCCAGTGACACTGTTTTCGCTTACCCACTGGGTGCCGGAACCCACTGGGTTCGTTGATGAATACGGTCACAGAACTACTTTTTTAGGAAGTTGATTTGAAAAAAACCTCTTTCTCCTGCAAACACTCAGAGCAGCATCGTTAATGCAGAAATCTTGTATGAAATCATAGACTTACATCGCTTGTGCGACCATCACCTGCTGACTCATAGAATGGGCATCTTGTAAGCGGTCCTCGTTTGCCGTCAAATTTCCAGTAGAAGGTGCAATCGATAGATGATAGCAAAACCATCAGAGATCTTCTGAAAAGCACTAAAATTATGCAGCAAAACCTTCACTCGCTTTTGTATAAAAATGCACCAACTATAAACAAATGAATTTGCAAGAAAACTCAGTTGACAGCACTTATTACTATGTATTAATATCTTTCTATCATACCTATTTATGTAATTGAATATGATGCGCAGCAAAAGTGCGGACGATTCGTGCTATACTACCATACGAGCGCTATAGAATAGCGCTGAATATTTATTTATTTATTCAAATGCACCAAAAAGTGCTCTTTGATCCTGATCCTGATCGGAGCGGTTAGTAACAGATACAATATAACCATCGCATGGTTAGTCAAACACACATGAAAAAAAAACACGTATGAACCAATTGTTGGCATGTACCCTGCAGGAAGCACAGAAAAGCTAAAAGCCCCAAAACCTGTTCCTGGGATTATCTTTGGATAAAAAGTGGCCAGAGTTGCTACTCTGGTGTATAGCATATTAAACTAACCGTTAATCTCACTGTCTTTCAGAAATTTAAGTCCCTTTTTGGTGGAGGCCGCGAGCCTACGGGCGGAAGCTAGCTGGTCAAAGCCCCGAGGAAGGATGAGTGAATTTTTGAAATTACAATGAGACTAACAGAGCTAGACAGGACAAAAAATAGCACAAGAAAGAAACCGTTTAAGGCCCATGCTGCCAAAGTACCGGTTGATAATATCGAAAGAATGCAGCGGATCATGCCAAAGAAAGGATGGCAAAATGATTCTAAAAAAAACTACTTCACATCATCAATCATAACATGCGACCGTAAAGGAATGGTTGCCGGCTGAAGGTTTGGCTACGCCCCAAAATTCTGCTGACCGGCCGAAAAGCGCGAGTTTGCGAACCGCCTGCTCCCGGCGATTATCTGGGTGAGGTGGTTTCAAAGCACGCAGAGCAAGTTACTGCAGACGCTGATAATTCACTCAGAAAATGCGCCGTTTCTCCACCTGTACGCTGTATGCCCAAACTATTGTACTGGCCGATTGGAAGCGTGCAGTCTCTGGATGCGACAAATTGACTATAAATTGGCACTAGATTAGAAATAAAATAGAGCAAACCCGCCTATTTGGACCATTTTCTTCTCGCACCACATATTTCAGAAAACCCCCACTGCACTTCTAAAAAAAGTCCGATTGCTTTTCTTTCTTACAAAGAGATTCGTTTGAAGAAAATTGTAGTTCTTGTTTTTTGGCATGGTTAAACTCAAACACTTAGAGTCGCATGCATTAAAGGCAGCGTCTAGGCAGATCTAGACCTATTGGGATTTTACGTGGAAAGTACTTTTGGGGCCCTAACTAAGGCACTGCCCAAGCGGCAGCGCAGGTAGTGCTCTAACGGCTGAGATATTCCCCTCGTAACTGGACCCCACGATCTAATCGCATGGATATATGGCAGTTTCGCGCCAGGACCCACGCTTTGCGCAGCCGTTAGAGCAGTTAGTACCTGAGCTGCCGATTGGGCAGCGGCTTAATTAGAGCCCCAAAATTCTATCGTGAGACACCCATGTGTCCAGACTTGCCTGGACGCTGCCTTCAACATCACCGCTGGAGAGGGGATCACAGCTTTAGAAAAAAGCTTCTTATCCTGAAGCTCCAAATATCTAAATTTCACGCTATCTGTTCATAAGTATTCCCACCAACCTTCACTATGAACATATTGAACGGAAGCAAGAAGCTGTACAAACCGCATTTTCCAGCTTTTTGTATGATCCACCAGTGATCCCCAGCGGCCGAAGATCTTTTTCCAAAACTATTCTTTTTCCTTCGAAGTTAACAAAACCTTCTAGAGCTTTACTGATCATCTAATCCAACAGTAATTTCCAAGTCCCGTTTTCATGAAACCTGGGCATTCGTTGTATTTCATTACTTCTGTGCCGAACAGGTTTGTTAAGCGATGTTTATTCTTCTTCCAATCACGGCCCTACGTTTCGACGCCTTCGTCTTCCTCAGAGGCCTGAATGGTTCCAAGTGTTATCTGTGATACCAGCCCACCAAGCGTCTCCTCCAATCCCGCCAGTTCTCGACCTTCTCACGACCTCATTCCACATAAAACGTCAACGCAGAACAACATACCGGAAGAGCACCGCTTTCCGAAAATAGTCTGCACCGGAAATAGATGGTCGCGGCAGACGAATGAATCGTACTGCAGATACACACAAAATGATCTACAGTTACAGATCACATAGTGATACGAACGGGAGGAAGTCAGAAGTTATTGATATACACTCGTTCTTACTCTCACTCGCTCTCCACCATGCCGAATTTCAGAAATTCGGCATGGTGGAGAAGACTTCGATGTCACATGTAAGATCCTTACATACGAAACGGAGACCTCGGCTAGGAAAGCGTTAGAAGCTTTCTGGATCTCTGCAAAGAATCCAGAAATGAATAATAAGAACGAGTGTATATCAATAACTTCTGACTTCCTCCCGTTCGTATCACTATGTGATCTGTAACTGTAGATCGTTTTGTGTGTATCTGCAGTACGATTCATTCGTCTGCCGCGACCATCTATTTCCGGTGCAGACTATTTTCGGAAAGCGGTGCTCTTCCGGTATGTTGTTCTGCGTTGACGTTTTATGTGGAATGAGGTCGTGAGAAGGTCGAGAACTGGCGGGATTGGAGGAGACGCTTGGTGGGCTGGTATCACAGATAACACTTGGAACCATTCAGGCCTCTGAGGAAGACGAAGGCGTCGAAACGTAGGGCCGTGATTGGAAGAAGAATAAACATCGCTTAACAAACCTGTTCGGCACAGAAGTAATGAAATATAATCCAACAGTGCTAAGCATGTAGCTGTTGAGAACAAATGATTTTTGAATATCAATTTTTTTAACCTTAACTTTCGACTTGTGGTTCATTGCAAATTTCATGACTTCGAAACATCACTTGTTTTACCAGAAACATGATTAGCCCTGTTTGGTTTGTTAAACAGCACAACTTTAGAATGATTTCAATGACTTCGAAAAAGAAAAATGACTTTAAAGAAAGCACGGCCTGTCGTCAGGGATCATCAGGGGATCATACAGAAAGCTGGAAAATGCGGCTTACATAGCTTCTTGCTCCTGTTCAATATGTTCATAGCGAAAGATGGTAGGAGTACTTACGGAGAAATAGTCTATAGTTTGCAATGTGAAATCCAGATATTTGGAGCTTCAGGATATGAAGTTTTTTTTTCAAAGCTGCGATCTCTTCCCCGGCGGGGATGTTGATGCACGCGGCTCTTATTGTTAGATGGATTTCTTTCATTTTGGCAGTACATACTTGAGCCTCTTTATTGATCCTAGTAATAGAGGCCAGTCCATCATCATCCCCAGAGAAGTTCATTGGGCAAATAGGAGATAGAGAATTCTGGAATCATTTTAAACTTCGCAGGCCCTCTATAGATTGGACACGACGGTAAGTGGTCCAGTGGCGGACCCAGAGTACCCCCCCCCCCCCTCAACTCCCCCCCCCCCCCCCCGCCCCCCTCCCTAGCTCTCAGATTGGATTGAGAAATTTTCAAAAGTAACTTATGAGTTAATTGCACAAGTGATTCATTTTCACTTGTAAATAAAGAAAACAATTTTTCAAAATCTTTTGAGGTCATATTTGGCTTGCAAAAACACATGTTGAGGAGCGCCACTTTTGGATAGCATCTCAGAACTTTTCCGGGGGGGGGGGGGTAACGCCACCTTGTTTTTGTTATACACTTCAAGATTGTTACATATGCGGAGGGAAATACATGGTAGACACTTACTTGAGTGCTGTAGTATCCTTCCATCTTCTCACAAATTGCTTTGTTCAGTGGAATTACCTAAATTTTACTGATTTATTCAATTTTTTAGCACTATGTAAATATTAGGTTGGCTAGAAAGTTCTTGCGTAATTCAAACAAAATTCGATAACTTTTCAATCACTAAACCTAAATTCACAATCTTGTTCCCTAAAAATATTAGAAGGCCTGCGCTCTATGATGGATGTTTAAGCGCAAGATTTCATGAGCTAGCCCCCGAGGACGAAGCTCTCAAATATGGGACTTCAAAATTTACAATTTTGAGTTTGGTGCCAGAAAATCGCAGAGTGCCGCTAGCTAGCCGAAAAAAATCTGTAAAAATTACTTACACTGCAGAAGTCCATACGTTATTTTAGCAGGCTTTAATCTCGCATGGAAACGCGAGAACAAAAAATTTGTGGAATTTGTCATTTTACAGGATAAATCCCCTTATGATGTAATTTTTCCACAAAAACATAGTTTGCTACCAGAAATAAGACATATTGGCTATTTAGAACCTTGCGACGTTTTTTGGAGTGTAAAAAATTGTTTTTGTCGAAAAACTGCGGTAATGCGTGGATTTTTTCGGCAAAATGACTATTTCACGAATTTTTTGTTTTTGCTTCACCGTGCAAGATCAAAGCCTTCCAAAGTAACTTATGAACTTCTGCAGTGTAAGTAATTTTTACAGATTTTTTTCGGCTAGCTAGCGGCACTCTGCGATTTTCTGGCACCAAACTCAAAATTGCAAATTTTGAAGTCCCATATCTGAGAGCTTCGTTCTCGGGGGCTAGCTCATGAAATCTTGCGCTTAAACATCCATCATAGAGCGCAGACCTTCTAATGTTTTTAGGGAACAAGATTGTGAATTTAGGTTTAGTCATTGAAAAGTTATCGAATTTTGTTTGAATTACGCAAGAACTTTCTAGCCAACCTAATAGTAGCGCTTAGGAAACGAACAGGTTGGTTTTCACTGAATACTCGTATGCATTGAGGAATGCCAACAAAAGGTATGTTAAGAAGAGCCAGAACGTCATGAATAGACTTGTCCTCTGGTACCAGGTTCAATGTTACTAAACTACATAAGCTTGTCACACTGTGGTTATAGTTAAATTGAATGATTTTTTAAAAGCATACTGCTTTGAAGAAATTTTCCAAAAGCTTTCTTTGTTTTGCCGACAGCAGCAAATGAGAGCAACGCCCACGCCCTGACCAGCGGAAGTGGACTCACGCAGATGTTGGTCGTTACCGAGTTTGCTGCGAAACCGCTCTGAAATCCTAGGACTGAAACTAGCATTCGCTTTCCACTTGTGCCAATACGAGGCTCTATAAGTTAACCATCGCCCAATTATCGTGGCAAAATCCGCGACCGAATGGGGACTATAAACCAAGGCCATACTCCGCGCGATTTTTGTCACCACGCGATTTGGTGATTCGCCAGGTGTCTAAAACTCCAGCAATCGCAGACTAAAAATGCATAAATGTCTATCTATTACTAAGTGATTGAATGCCTTATTTTTATATTCCAAATGCCCTTGTGATAAGATAAACAGCCGCATCAATGCCAGCGGCGATTGAAATCACGTAGTGTACCCGAGAGCGCAAAGCTTCTCATGTTTTCCAAAGAGCAAATGGAATGAATTTGGAGTGAGAACGTTTGAAGTACAATCTTTACAACAAATAAAACTTACCCTAATTTCACGCGTATGAGACGCACTTTTTCGGATTTTGAGCGTACCGCTCAGCCGCCCGTTGTGTTTCGGAAAACGAGAACTATGCCGCACGATGCTCTCGAGCAATATGCATCATTGTAAAAGTTCTTCGGCCGCGAAGTCCTTCGGCGTGTCTGTGCTGTTCCATTTTAGAAAGAAACTCCGCGTCCTATAGGCGTGAATTAGGGTATTCAAAAACAAACTTTGAAGCACACAACACATTATACTTTACTCTAGCTTTTACTCCGTTTTCTCTTTGGGGGACTTTTTTCGTTTGCTGATATGCTTTTTTAGACTCACCGTTGAAAGTGGAACCTTGCTCTTTTGATGGTGACCGTAAGCTTCCTCGCATTTTATCTATGCTACGACCTTTCAAAATGTTGTTTCGAGCAGAAGCGGACAAGACAGTGTCCTTTGTATGAAAGAAGATGGTACGCCAGCGAAAAAAGCTTTTCAATGTGTGTTGACGCTCTTCAAATAACATTAAAATTCGTTTAATTTTACGTTCTTATAACGCGTTTGCAACTTTTCGACTTTTCGGTGCATTGCATTTTATATCTCACATATATTTGCGCTTGTTATACTCTGATTGAGTTCCTTAAAATAGTGACAACGAACTTGTCTGCCGTCTTAGCGCCCGCTCAGACATCATATGAGCAACAAAAGGCATGCTTATTGCTCACAAGGGAGAGGTCAAAAGTCGAAGTGACCAATACAGACAAGCTGCCCCCCATTCGATGCTGCATTCAAACGCTGATTTTGATTCTGCACTCCATTGCTTGGCGCCTTTGTGGACGAAGTCACGAGCAGTTGTATTGCGAAAAAATCGTACATGAAATTTCCGAAATTGAGCGCATTATCGCCCTTTTAGCCCGCCTTCAAGTTTGGGCTATATGAGTAAACTAACTGCATTCTTTGGCTCAGTATTTAGTCAAACATGTCTCTGTACTGCCAAATTTGCGCTTTGCATGCACGGTTTCTTAGCAAAATGTGTATAGCAAAAATAAGTAAAATCTCAGGACATCGAAATCTTCGATGAACCACTGCTCGCGAGCTAGGGATTATCGAAAAATTCGCAGTCTTCAAACTCCATTTCTCCTGTCGAAAACATGCTTAGCAGTCCCATGGTATATGCTCAGTACAATTTTGCAGCATTTTCACAGACTTCTCAGGAAGATAAATGACTTTGAAATGAGAGGTAAGTCCCCTGAGGATCCTTAGAGGATCACAAAAAATTGCAAAAAACCCATCTTATGTGGCAGTAACCTGGCATCTTATGCACAGGGATAAGGGTACGATAACCTTCATAAGCGAGATAGAGGAGGAAGAAGAAAGATACGTAGAGTATTCAGATATAACGCATCCCCTCTCAGATCCCCTTCCCTCCCCAGGGGGGATGTACGAGCATACGGGCCTTAGTAGGATTGCCAGGAAGCGAGCAGAAGTTGGAAAAAGAGACTTATCTTTGTTACTCATTGTGCTTGCATCACGTAGCGTCTTTTACCATAACACTCTCCACGTATCTGAGCATACAACACATGTCGTGGACTTAATTACCTGCCTTCAACAAATCGTGAAACGTTGCTGATGTTCTTGTTGCGAAATTAGTCACTGATCCCATTTCATTGACACCACGTATAAACCTCACACTAATCAAGCTAGGTTGACGTGAGTACTTGCACTTTCTTTTCTGCAGCTTGAAGAATCGAGTAAAAATTGTCATTGAGAACATAGAATCTGTTGAAAAACATATAAAAATCCTTTTTTGATTAGGGCTATGACCAGAGGTGCAGTGGGGGGAACCGCGCCCACCAAACGTGAAGGTGGTAGTGCAGGACACTCACCATTCAACGGGGGGAGGGGAAGCATTAACGTCTGTCCTTTCAGGTCGTTGCCGCCAGTGCGCGGAAAATAAGCAAAACAAATGCAAAAGAGATCATTGAAAGCATATTTCTATGTATACAGCGCATTATCTAAAATAAACGTGCTTATCAAATGGTGATTTGCAAGTAAAACTCGGCGAAACTGTACGGATTTATTGAGTAAATTTTGTTATAACATACAACGAAGAAAGTAGACCGATCCAGGGAGTAACCGCCAAGAACCAAAATTTTGAATAATCAAATAGTGAAAAATCATGCGTAATTTCCACTATTATAAACCTGGTGTTTAAAGATGTCAGCAATTGCGATTCATAGGGTTTCAAGGTAATGGTGGTTTATCAGACAGTGAAAGAACGACGTCGATTAGAGAGATGTTCGCCGAAAACCAGAATTCTAAAAAATTACGCCATTTTAGCTTGTTTAGTGACAGCTGACAAATAAACTCATATAAATCATGAATGTGAAAGTATGTGATATTGCGACTTCATAGGTTTTGTAGAGTAAGGTTTGCCTTATCAGAATATATGTTAGCCGTACCGAACCATTGAGATAACCCCGAGATTCAGGCTTAAAAAAGTAGGTAAAAAACCGCTTTTTGAGATTGAACAGCTCATAACTTCTCCAGAACTGCATGAATCATGTTGCGACTTCATAGGTTGGATTCTACTCATCAAGAGCTTTCAGATGATTTATAATGTGTGGAGGTTTAGAGCCTCCTACGACTTATGCCCGTGGGGCAACATCACACACTTCCAAATTCAAGATTTATATGAGTTTAATTGTCAGCTGTCACTAAACAAGCTAAAATGGCGTAAGTATTTAGAATTCTGGTTTTTGGCGAACATCTCTCTAATCGACTCCGTTCTTTCACTATCTGATAGAGTACCATTTACTCTTGGAAACCTATGAAGTCGCAATTGCTGACATCGTCAAACACCAGATTTATAACAATGGGAATTTCGAATGATTTTTCACTATTTAATTATTTAAATTCTGGTTCTTGGAGGTTCCCAGATCTATCTACTTTCTTCGCTGTACGTTATGAAGAAATTTACCAATCCGTACAATCCCGCTATTGCTTCCAAATACACCATTTACTAAACACGTTTATTTTGAATATATATGCCGCCGTATACACAAAAATATGCTTTCAATAATCTTTTTTGCGTTTGTTTTGCTTATTTTCCTTTTTTATCGTTCAGCGGAAAAATTTTATCATGCCAAAAGTGAAGGTGGTCACCCTGTACCAGCTCAAAAATAAAGGTAGGGGTAGAATCGGCTTCCACTTTTTTGCAAAAACTATAACTGCTGCACTTTTACGTGGTAAGTAAACTTTCAATGCACTTAAGAATAGCAAGGAGTGTTTAGCTTTCGACACTGCCAGAATTGCTCTAGGTAGAACCTTTGTAAGCAGGAAAGCAAATGGAGTTACTGGACAAATAAATTTTGAAAAAGGTTTCCTGCGACAACATCGTGCTTGTCAGGGAAGACTTGTTTGTCGGGTATGCGTAAGTCTATCTTGCGAAGAAAAAGCTATCAACATAGGCAATTCATTGCACGAGACTAGACAACTTTGCCCATCAGGATAGTTCGTGTCTAGAAGAGACAGCAGATGGTTTGTAAAATGAAAAAGCTTTTGAGCGGAGAGATGCGACAGCATCAGCAGTAGCGGCCGTCTCTACGTACGATGAATCGCCTACTCTTTGATTCAACGAGATTGACGGCTGCAAGGCGACTCCTAGCGTCCCCGACACACCTTGCGTCTCTTCGCGAAAGTGCTCTCTAATCATTCTCTAGCCTTAATTAGGTCACGAAGCCCCGCCTTCCAGCCGCCATCCAGTTGAGTCAAAGTCACGCAACTTTGGTCGCTGCGTTGTGAAGCCTCGTTATCCATAGCTTATGAGAGTTTAGGAAATTATGCTCGCCGAGCACAGTTCGGCTTCTGAAATGAGGGAGTGTGGCGAAGAGCCGAATTGTGTGGCAACCACGCAGACTTATAGCAGGCAGTTTGAAAATGCTAGTGCTAGTGATTTCCTTCCCAAGCACAACCAATCCAAAAATTGCGGCGATTTCCAGTTATATCGTGTTATAAAAGCACATACCTTGTCACTCGTTAAAAACGGAGAAGCATCCAGGATAAGAGGCGAAGAATGTGCCATGACATACAAGCCGTATTCTAGTAGAACATTGGAAAAAGTTGAAACTGAAAGCAAAAGTTTATTAGGACAGCGCAAGCAAAAGTGATGCCTTGTGTCTCCGTCAGCTCTATTTTCTTCTGAAGATTTGTTCCGCTTGTGTCGCTAGAACTGGCAGATGTCATCGCTTAGAAAGCCAGTCTATAATATCTGGTACTCGTCAATGAATGTATAGAACTTTATGCAGCTAAAAGTGTAATATCTGGTGTCAGTGTTGGTCGTAAACACTTTCTTTGCAAGATAAGATTTGGTTAGAAAGGAATGAATAGTGAGTCTGTTTTAGAGAAAATCTTTGTACTCAATTCAGTTGTTTCATTGATTGTTTAGTTTATTTTATTTCATCTAATACGCTCATAGGCGCGTCACTTTGTTAGTGATTAACAACATAAGAACCTCAATGAAGTTAATATGACATCAAAGATCATAACTTATAATAACGGGCTAAGGGTGTTTACGTGATTTTGTGTGTGTGTGTGTGTGTGTGTGTGTGTGTGTGTGTGTGTGTGTGTGTGTGTGTGTGTGTGTGTGTGTGTGTGTGTGTGTGTGTGTGTGTGTGTGTGTGTGTGTGTGTGTGTGTGTGTGTGTGTGTGTGTGTGTGTGTGTGTGTGTGTGTGTGTGTGTGTGTGTGTGTGTGTGTGTGTAACGAAATTCATAGAGCGAGTTCCAGCCAATGTCCTAAGCCCAAATTTTGCACAGCGCATGCTACCAGCGTAGAACTCCACCGTACAAAATCACGAGCAGATTCGTTGGGTGGATCCACTAGAATTTGCGAGTCAGACGGATCCACTTGGCTTCTGGCCCGCAAAATTGGTCTGAATCAACGCTTTTTGCAAAGTCGTCGATGAGTTTGGCATGTTGATGTGCAAGACATGGACTTTAGGCGAAAAAGTGACCAAAGGTCTACTACTATACCAGAACGACGCCAAAAAGAAATGGTTGCGCAAATGGTCAATCCACAATGGCTTTACCTGACCATTTGAGAGGATTTTTGCATAGAAATGTAGCTCACGGTAATTTTGTCCTTAGGCAACTACCAAGCCAAAAGAAGTTCAAAAACATAATCGAAGTTGCATTTGTTCTTCTGCGAAAAGTTCCATCCACGCGAAATTACCGATCCCACATGAAAAACCCTTTGAAATGAGTAGTTGTTTACATTTCATTCGTGGTAGTCGTTATTGCGCGGTGAGTTTCAAAGACATCATTAGGCTAGAACAAGTAAAGCATATAAAGTAAGACCAGTGCGAGCCTCTGCGAAGCAGAGGTGACGCACTGGTATAAAAAAATAGAAAAACACGAAAAGGCATTCGGTAATCTCGGAATGAAAAAATTCCTTCCTGTGATGCAAATTAAAACCACTTGTACAATACCGCTCATAATTCGTCAAAAGTCGCCGGACTGCGGCGCACTCCGCCACACTCCGCCACAGTGCGCCGGAGTGCGGCAGAGTGTGCCACATTCCGCCGCAGTGCGCCGGAATGATCGTCAATTTAGCCATATCTCGCTTCAGAATGGACGAATTCTGAATCCGAGGACACCGTTCGATTCAGCTCGGCGAGACGCATCATCTCATATATGAAGCTGAACGTTTGTTTGTCTGTTTGTCTGTACGTATGTTCCAAATAGAAAAATCCATTTCTGAACCGATCCGGACCAAAGTTGGCACATATACACTTCGGGCCCCGGCGGGTGTCATAGGCTACTTTTCGTCATCGATCGATATCGATTTTATCGATTTTTATCGATTTTTTTGCAAAGTTTGAGCTACGGGGCTGGGAGTTTGCACAGGGGGGTAGTCGAGCATGGGGATTCCGAATACAATATTAGTTTTCAGAATAATCTTATTATTTTGGTTGAATTCAGTGTGCTGATAACAGTATTACCATTGATCTGTCGCTGATGACACATGGACAGTATACTATAGCAGTATGGTAGAGAGCCACTCTGATCGAATTTGTCCTAAGATCTGCTCAGGACCACAATACCGCGCACAGAATGTCAAAATTTCCGTGAACTTCGCGGAATTTGGGGATTTCCGCCAAAGTGCGCAATAATCCGGGAAGTTCGCGACATTTCAGGATCCGCGAAACCATACGAATCACGCAGAGTACGCAACGCCATAACTTCCTTCGGAATGAATATATTCCGAAGAAGCAGCATTGTGTTCAGATGTCGAGGCAAATATTTTGATGTACAGTATGCTCTCGATATTCCATTTTCAGTTTCTTCGAATTTTTTCTGTGGAGGTCCTTTCGCAAGGATGTAACGCAGCGTTTGTGTAACATAAAAGATTCCAGTAAACACTGTTCGATAGTACTGTCCTTGTAGGTTATCGTGCGTTCAAGAGTAGCTGCAGAATGTCTCCCAAAAGAGATAGAAGCGTTGGTGAATTTTGGAAAAATCATGTCGTTCTAAATTTTTCTCAACGTAACTCTAAAATATGAAGCTCTCTTGCTAAGCAGATGTGATTTTCGTAATCAGCAGGTCGGATAACCCTTATAAGCAAGTTTTCCAAGATCTTCGAGTAATTTCATTTTTTCTCGTTTTACGCTCTGAAGCTGGCCGATGGATTTTGGTCAAAATGTTCATGCTCTTAAATTGTAAGAAAACTTCGCTTATAGAGGTTTTCGAACACGCTCTTTACGAAAATCGTGGTCTTTGAGGATTACAGGGTCTTCTTGGAGAGATACGGTGAGATGACTGTAACTGCATCACGAAAGTGCGTAACTTTGCCAGCAATTCTCGCGTATCTTTCAGAAAAGCTGCTTGCCTGCTTTTTTAGGTCAAAGTTACTAGGAACTGTGGTATTGAATGGTGCATGAGTCAGGCTCCAGTCTATGAAAATCGCCGAGTTACGAGCTTATGAAAACACGTTCTCATGAATTTGGCCCAAAATGTAAGCATCGCATATTTCGTCGAAATTCCACCGTGAGTGCTTGTATGACACTCGCAGATATTATGTTCCCTTCACTCAATGACTCCACTGTATTGAATATGGTGCTTGCGTGTGCTTCAGCAATTGAATATCAAAGCTGTTTTGTGGCTAGAGCTCAAATCACCAAATCTCACAATAAGATCCATTAAGAATGTGAAAAGATTTGATCAGCGTGTTGTACAAGCACTCATGGTGGAATTTCGACGAGATTTGCGATCTTTACATTTTGAGCAAAATTCATGAGAACGTGTTTTCATAGGCTCGTAACTCGGCGAAATTTATAGACTGGAGCCTGAGTCTTGCGCCGTTCGATAGCACATCTTCTAGTTACTTGACTAGTGAAGCAAGCAGGCAGGTTCTTTGACAGACACGTGAGAGGTGGAGGCGAAGTTACGAGCTTTCGTGATGCAGTTACAGTCATCTCACCGTATCTCTCCAAGAAGACCCTGTAATCCTCAAAGACCACGATTTTCGTAAAGAGCATGTTCGAAAACCTCTATAAGCGAAGTTTCCTTACAATTCAAGAGCATCAACATTTTGACCAAAATCCAACGGCCAGATTCAGAGCGTAAAACGAGAAAAAATGAAATTACTCGAACATCTTGGAAAAATTGCTTATAAGGGTTATCCGACCTGCTGATTACGAAAATCACATCTGCTTAGCAAGAAAGCTTCATATTTTAGAGTTACGTTGAGAAAAATTTAGAACGACATGATTTTTCCAGAATTCACCAGCCCTTCTAACTCCTATGGAAAGATGCCTGTGACTACTTTTTAGCGCTACGTAATCCACAGAAAAAGTACTATCGAAAGGTCCTTGCTGGAGTCTACTAGGTGCAGTGCGCGCTCTTTACACCTTCGCGAAAAGACGTCTACAGAAAGATTTGAGAATATTGAAATCGGAATATCAAGGATACGCTGTATATCGAAAGACTTGCCTTGATGAACTGAGCACAAAGCTTTCTTCGGATTCAGAATATGTTCATTCCGAAGGAAGTTACGGCGAGTAGAATTTAGAAACGCGTGATTTTTCCAAAATTCACTAACGCTTCTACCTCTTTTGAGAGACAGTCTGCAGCTACTCTTGAATGCACGATAACCTACAAGGACAGTACTATCGAACAGTGTTTACTGGAATCTTTTATGTTACACAAACGCTGCGTTACATCCTTGCGAAAGGACCTCCACAGAAAAAATTCGAAGAAACTGAAAATGGAATATCGAGAGCATACTGTACATCAAAATATTTGCCTCGACATCTGAACACAATGCTGCTTCTTCGGAATATATTCATTCCGAAGGAAGTTATGGCGTTGCGTACTCTGCGTGATTCGTATGGTTTCGCGGATCCTGAAATGTCGCGAATTTCCCGGATTATTGCGCACTTTGGCGGAAATCCCCAAATTCCGCGAAGTTCACGGAAATTTTGACATTCTGTGCGCGGTATTGTGGTCCTGAGCAGATCTTAGGACAAATTCGATCAGAGTGGCTCTCTACCATACTCCTATAGTATACTGTCCATGTGTCATCAGCGACAGATCAATGGTAATACTGTTATCAGCACACTGAATTCAACCAAAATGATAATCGATAATTCTGCAAACTAATATTGTATTCGGAAGCCCCATGCTCACTTACCCCCCTCTGCCAACTCCCGGCCCCGCAGGTGAACTCTGCAAAAAAATCGATAAAAATCGATAAAATCGATATCGATCGATGACGAAAAGTAGCCTATGACACCCGCCGGGGCCCGAAGTGTATGTGTGCCAAGTTTGGTCCGGATCGGTTCAAAAATGGATTTTTCTATTTGGAACATACGTACAGACAAACAGACAAACAAACGTTCAGCTTCATATATGAGATGATGCGTCTCGCCAAGCTGAATCGAACGGTGTCCTAGGATTCAGAATTCGTCCATTCTGAAGCGAGATATGGCTAAATTGACGATCATTCCGGCGCACTGCGGCGGAGTGTGGCACACTCTGCCGCACTCCGACGCACTCTGCCACACTCCGGCGCACTGTGGCGGAGTGTGGCGGAGTGCGCCGCAGTCCGGCGACTTTTTTGACGAATTATGAGCGGTATTGTACGCTCTCTGCTGTAAAGATCCAGTATTTACTGGCTTCGTAATTTTGTTTTCAATCTCAAGATACAAAAGCAGAACACCAAATCGTTAAAAACGCGTCTATACTT